GGGCGGGGCGGGGCGGGGGGAGAGTTGTTGCAGCCCTCCCAATGCCCGAGTGGGGCGGAGCAGCCCAGTTGGGGCCCGGAGCTGCTCTCTGGCTGTGGAGAGGTCCGAGATGCGAAAGGCCGAGGCCCGGCCACGTCAGCACGACCACCCCGAGGGAGCTGCGAAAGGAGGCGGCGGGGATCGCGCCGCCGGAGGGCCGGCTGCAGCCATGGAAATCCCCGCGGGGCAGATACTGGTACGAGGCTGGGAGTAGCAATTTAGCAAGGGAAGGGATGGGAGGAAGAGCCGGGGAGAGGACCCGCCGCCGCCGCCGCCGCCGCCGGTGCCTTTAGAAACTGTCTCAAAACTCTTCCGAAGTTCCTTTTGTAAACTTTACGCTAATTCTTAGGAGGCGCCCTGCGCGAGAACAGAACAGAGGATCCGACGCGTCGGGGATGGGGGTGGGGTGGAATCTTATTAAAGGGGGAATCGGGATACGATACAAGGGACTCGACAAGGGCCTAGTCCTCACTGAGGTGGCAGACCGATCTATGGACTGACAAAGAATGTTTTTACGGGCGGTTCTCTCTGCCTTTAGCTTCCCTTTGCCCTCCTTTATTACAGTCGCGAGTGCTGACTGGATGGGTAGAGTTACAGGCACGTAGGGGGCACCAGAGCTTATCCCTTGTACTAGAATAAGCGACTCAAAATAGTACTGTATGTACTTTGTACAGGTATGTGCATTGTAGCACAGAGGGCTGCTAGGAAGAGAGTTGTCAGACCCTGGGCAGACATGTAATACCTGACTGATGATGGGCTGTGTTTGCTGTGGTGGTGAAGACCCGATTTAGGAAAACACCAGTGAGGCAGGTGAGAGTGTGCTGAAAGAGCCCCTTAGAATTATGAATGGATGAAAGAGAAGCCTGCACCAGATTATGGGAGGGCACTTAGAATCCTCACAATTTTAGATTAAAAATCTTTGAAGCAGACCCCCCCCCTCTCTTTACCCATGTCTGTGTTATGTTGTAAAGATCTGTACATTGATGCGAATATGCGAATGACAACAGCAATATTTTATGTATCCAAATGCTAAAATATGTTTGTATTTACACTATAAAGCGTACTAAAGTTTTTTTATAGTTCTCCAAGCTTAGGGGTCACGAGACTTGCTGGTATTTGTTTATTTAAATTATATACAGTATGTGCCACATTTCTCCCCATAGGAGAGAAACGTGAGCAAGGGTACATCGTTTGGGTAACATAATTAGAGATGGGCACAAACCTGAGGTCTGTGCCAGTTTGTACATGTGACTGCAGCACATGTGTTACAATTCCCTTCCTCCACCTCCCCAACTGGATCCCCCCTTCACTAGTTGGAGTGTGCTCCTCTTCCTCCTCATCAGCTGGATAGCTCAGCAGGAGCATGGGTTTGCCTGTCCTGCCTCCTTGTCTGAGTGGGCAGTCAGCCAAGAAGGTGGGGCAGGGTAGCCCATGCTCCTGCCTGGGAATGGCTGAACAGCCAAAAGGAGGAGGAGACGAGTGTGTGCCAGCTGGTGAGTGGGGGAACCAGCCAGGAAGGGAACTCACATATGAACCAGCCCGAACCTCTTAACCGAGGTGTATGCCCATCTCTAAACATAATCAATAACCTTCACAACCTGAATTCAGGAAACAGGAGGAATTACTGATTTCCTTGCACATCCAGACTAGAAATAAATCAAATGCACTGGCTAAACAATGAATAGAACCAGGATCAGCAGAAGTTCAAATAGCAGTATCAGAGAACTTTGTTGTATCAAAGATAAACATGTTTGCCCATATTATATTTCATGGGTCTCACTTTTGCTGACTATTATTCTTACATGATTTGACTGGCCATTAAAATAAAACTGTATTGAACCTAGAAACCGTCCCTTTACACTGTCAAGGCAGTTTTCATCTTGGACAACTTTGGACAGCGACTCTTGGCCAAGGTAAGGTACCTCCAACAATTTTGTTTCAAGCCTTGTTGAGATAACAATAGGATTGTTAACATTTTTTGTAGATGGGAGTAAACTGAGTCACTTTATTTCTCTTGAAATCCATGCCATGAAGAAGTCTGAGGTCCATATTCCTGAATATTGATTTTGCTCATGGATCTCACAGCTTCTGTTTGTTTTTCTGCATCTGTCATCCTGTGTTAAACCATTGGCATCAGGTAGCTGTAGAGATAACTTGGTCACTGTGGCATGTAGCCTCAGCGATATTGCTCTTCATGGCTGGCTCTTATGAATTTGGTACCAGAGACGAAGGACATGGTGGTGTAAACGTTCGGCCAGCCTTTTCACCTACAGAAGCCAATCAGTTTAGCAGCAAGATCTCACTCCAACACTGACAATGGGACAACATTCTTGATTTCAGCTGAGAGCAACTCACACATTCAGGATGCAGGCACACAGCTTTCTCCTTCCACTGTTTCATTTCCACCTCCCACTCTCCATTCTTGCTGGTGGATTGTGCAATGAATAGCAAATAATTTCTCTGAGCTATTCTCATGAGGATGACAAGAATGCATCTACTTTTGTCCCTCTCCTTGATGATCATTTCCTTCTACTCTTACACTGTCTCATCTTTGTTTTAAACCATTTTCTTTGGTTATCCATAGTATTATGATGACACGTTTCCATCCATTAAAGAACAGAAGAGCTTTGAGAGAAATGTCTTCAATAAAACCTACAAGACTGACAGTGAGTATGTGAGGCCTCTTAGAGAAAGTTCAGCCCCTGGGTGCCCATTTGCACTTGCCTTGCCTACCAACTCAGGTCTCCTCCTGCCCTTGCCAGAAAATAACATTGCAAGCAGTTGGGAGGGTACCGGGTAGAAGGAGAGGAGCAGCAGGTGTGACAAAAATGGTAGAGGAACATGGAAGTACCAGCAGACCATCCTGAGAATTTTTTTTGTAAGGCAATAAATTTAATCTGCCATCCCTCCACTGTTTTTTCAAGCTAAACTAAGCTGAAGAGTTCAGTGATTACCTAAGTTTTTACTGGGCATAGGGTGGGCAATCATGGCCCTCCTAATGCTTTTGGCTTATTCTTCACCTTTACTCTAGCTAGTCTACAGTCTAGTGGTAAGGAATTCTGCAAACTCCAGTCAAAAAATACCTGGGGAGTAGAGCTGCTCAAGACAATTCAGATGTGTTGGACTATAATGCCCATCTTCTGCTACATGCTGGCTAGGGATGATGCGAGTTGTAGTCTCAAGACACCATGATGGCCCTTGGTTGAGAAAGGATCATCTACACCAATGATCCCCAACCTTGGGCCTCCAGATGTTCTTGGACTTCAGGAAATTCTGTCCAGCCAAGGTGGTGGTGAAGGTTTCTGAGAGTTGTAGTCCAAGAACATCTGGAGACCCAAGATTGGGGGCACTGATTTACACCACAAGTTCCCAACCTAGGGTAAGCCTTCACCACCAGCTGTGCTCCCTAGAGTTTCTAGAAGTTGAGGTTCATGAACATCTGGGTTACCAAGATTGGGAACCAGTGGTGTAGATGATCCAAGCCATCTTCCATTTGTTTGCAGAATACCAACAGATGGCTCACCCTGCTTTTACTTATTTACGAGGTGCACCATGGGTAGATTTGGATGGCTTTAACCTAATCAGAAATAAGGTCATCACCATATCAGAGAGGGCCTGGTAGACTGCGGGACTCTTCAAGACCTCTTTCAGCTGTCACCCCATAATATTTTTTTCTTCCTTCTTTATCTCTCTCTCTCTCTCTCTCTTAAACTCTCTACAGGTGAGATCGCTTTCTTAGAAGGTCTGACCATTGTCTATAAAAGCAGCATTGATCTATTCTTTTACGTAGTGGGGAGTCCACATGAAAATGAGGTAAATTTCCCCTGTGAACATGATTTTAGGCAGCAGGGTAATAAGCAAAAGAGTGGCCCAACAATATTTTTTATTTCTTATTTTGTATTTTTAAAAATGCGTTTAATTTATGTTTTTCTCTTCCGTAAGTTTAATCTTCCCAGAGTTCCTCCATTATGATAGAATCCATAACTACAACTAAAGATATGCAGTTAGGTGGAAACTTGTAAGTAATGCTATAGCCATATAGAACAAGAAGCAACTAGAGACAACGCCCACATAGAGTGTGTGTGTGTGTGTGTGTGTAAGTGTGTGTAAGAGAAGCATCTCATCCAAGAAACCCACTACATTGTCATCTAATCTGATATATAAAATGTTTCATTATTATCTTAAATGCCACATGTAACCACCATTTAGAAAATCGATGATGAAGCACAGATGTTGGTTGTGGAAACAGCCCAATGCTGTCTATATTGTATGTCAGGTAGCATGAGGTTAGGGATAGATAATGAATTTAGCCAACAGAGAAATTCACTTGATTTAGTCTATGTTGATGTGAGCCTTGCTCTCTTGCCCTGCTTGTTTTCTAGCTGATGCTGACATCAGTGCTCACCTGCCTTTTTGAATCCCTCAGTCACATGTTGCGGTAAGTATTATAGCTAAAATCCATGAAGATCACAGGTCACCTTGTCAAAATCTAAAATTACAAAATGGACAGTATTTAAAAAAAAAACAGGTTCTGCCCTTCTTTCCGAAGCAAAACTGTCCATGTAGCCCATGACTATATCCTTATAATCTCAGTCATGGTTAACCACAAACGGAGAGTTTCTACTTTGCAGGGGAAAGGATGTGTAAAACAAAACACATCAGATGACTTGAGCCAGCAGTGTGTGTGTAAGTGCAGAGAGAGAAACTTGCTTTGGAAACTCCTGTGCTCTTGAGGAACCCTCAGTTCACATCCATTTCAGAAGTAGGAAATCCTCTTGGTGGATTATGCTCACGGTGACAGGACATCATCAGTACTTCCAAATGTCCCATGTCTCCTGCTGCCCATAAAAATTTGCCTTGACTACCTTCCGTCCTCCTTCCTGAAATGCTTCCCTGGGCGCACACACACACACACATACCTGTGTTCTTCAGCTTCCATCTGCCTGTGACTAGAAATTTTCATCAACCAATTGACAGGCCCATCTTGAACTGCCCCACTGTTGGTAGTAAAACTGGTGGCCAAGGAAAAAGAAGGAGCCTTTTTTGTGATGGCACCCTGCCTGTTGAATATCTTCCCCAAGATGTCTTGCATGGCACTTGTTTTGCTTTCAGAGCCAGTGGATCATGTAGGAATTTGGGGTAGTGGACTGGGACTTGGGAGGTCCAAATGCAAGTCCTCACTTAGCTATGAGATTCACTGGGTGATTTTGAGCCAATCATTTTTTCTCTGCTTAGCTGAAGGTGGGGAGGAAGGCAATTATGTAGGCTGTGAACTTTAATTGGAAGAACAATGAGGACATCATAAATACATATGGTAATTTTGGCACTAATTTACCTAACTCTACCTATTTTTTCAGTTCTTTACAACTGAAGCAGGGTTTTAATGACATGGGTATTTTTTTTTTCATTTCATCCTTTGCTGTTGTTTTGTAATATTTGGTTGTGTGTGTTTTTTTAAAAAAGGCTCTATTGTCAGCTTGTCCTTGGGAATGCTGATTAGCCATTAAGAGGTGAGGTATCTGTTTCAGAAATAAATAAGTAAATAGTTCTCATATTTCACTGGGGGAATGACAATTCAGGGACTGCCTATCAGGCTCTGTACAATAGCGAAGTCTGTTTTGTAGTTTTAAAAATGCCCAACTTTGATGCTCAGCCTTAATGCTCACCTATATTCAGAGAAGTCCAGTTTCTAAATGGGAGTGATCACAATGCTACCAGAATCCAATCCTACTCATTATCTGGGTCAACACAGAATGTCAACAAGCAGAAATCTGGTGTAGTAGAAAGCACTGAGACAGTGTGGGGTAGTGGACAGAGTGTTGGACTAGACCTCAAGAGACTTGGGTTCAAATCCCCACTTTGCTGTGGAAACTCAAAGGGTGGTAGCAATGGCAAAATCACTCCTTGAACATCTCACATACCTCAAAATCCCAGTTAGGGTTGCCATAATTTGCATGCATCTTGATAGCACATAACAACCACAAAGCAATAGCCCCAAGAGTAGTGAGGAGAGGAAAAACGTTGTCCCTTTTTTGTCTACACTCTACAACTTACAGAAGAGCATAGCCTAGGTTATTGTGATCATTGGAGTACACAAATGTAACATTTCCCATCTCGGAAGTGAAACAGACCATATACTCCCCACCTTCAGATTATTTATTATGCATAATAAATGTGACTAGGATCCTAGTCACATTTTCACAGAACTATAGTTGCCAAGGTCCTCTGGGAGAATGGACTGACTACAGTTTGAATCCATTATGTAGATCAAGAGTGGCAACTTGTGGTTCTCCAGAGGTAGTCAGATTGCAGCTCCCATCATCCTTAGCCAGCAGAGTAAATGGTGAGATTTAATGGGAATTGCAGTCCAACCTCATCTCAAGGGTCAAATACTGTATGCTCAATCTATCCTATATTATCAACAGGATAGATAATATGTCATAGTATTAATTGGTGTCATATTTTGCCTTGTATCTAGAAAGAACGTGGAGAAACGAACCCTGGTGGATAATATGGACGGGGCATTTCTTGTAGTGGATGAGATTGTTGATGGCGGGTAAGATTCATGCAAAAGGAGAAAGAGGGAGAAACGTAACATTTGGTGGAGACACAGAGAAAGAGAGAGATATAGACAAACAGACAATAGACAAAAACAAAACTACTCAGAAGAAATCATTCACAACCAATACACATCTGTATATTACCCAGAAGTCATTCTGTGGAATGAGTAGACTGCCTTACCATGTCACTTTTAACTGGATATAAAAGTAATTACATTGCCTAGGAGGTTCCAATGAGTTATGATTTTGTTAAAGTAATTTGTAACCTATGAAGTTAGTCCAACAGCTGTATGTGGCTTTAGGATTACAAATTGTCTAACCCCTTACTGTAAGATAACTCAGTCCCAAACTTGTCTTCTTTTCAAAAGAGAGTTATGCTCCAATGCAAGAAAGAAAGAGAGAGAGAGAGAGAAATTCACTAGATCCCTGTTCTTGTGTCTAACCCCTTACTGTAAGATAACTCAGCCCAAAACTTGTCTTCTTTTCAAAAGAGACAGTTATGCTCCAATGCAAGAAAGAAAGAAAGAGAGAGAGAGAGAGAGAGAGAGAGATTCACTAGATCCCTGTTCTTAGAGAGAGGGAGGTACTTCTAGGGGCTTACAGCTTTGTTTTTAAAGGGTGCTATGATTGTGCTTACGCTTGCACAGTACAGCTGCAGTGAGTTTGGCATAAAATGAAGAATATGAAGGTTATTTACAAACGTCCATGGGCTACTGCCATGGGGGTCATCATTTCCAATAGCACAGCCACTGCTGCCCAGGTGCTTATAGTATTTTTATTATTTTCTGTAAAAATTGTCTAAACTGTTTTTTAAAATAACTGCATAGCAGAAACAAAACATTGCATTTTGGTAACTACGATATCACTTTACCAAGGGAAGATCTCTGAGACCCCACAGTAATTGCACTGAATTTCTCTCTTTTCTTTTCAAATTCTAGTGTGATTTTGGAAATTGATCCCCAGCAAGTGATTCAGAAGTTAAATTTCAGAGTGAGTTGTTCTCTCCTCTCTTGTTTTGCTTTTTAAATTTCTTGTGGCATCTTACACTTGGTCTTCCTGCTCACCTCATGAAACTCTTTCTACCCCAGATGGTTCCAGAACCTGCAACTTACGGTTTTGTTCTCTTTGATTACCTCACGGGTAATTCAGAGCAGAGTGAAATTATTCCTGAGAGATTCTACAAATAATGAAAGATTCCCACAGGCAAGAAACAGGAGTAAGACACCACTTCTTCTAAGCGCGTGGTGGTTCTAATGAAGCATGGCAGCTGACTGGGTTGAAGTCCTCCTGATTCCTTTGTCCTCATTGCTTGTTGTTAGGGGAGATTTGTTCTTTGCTGTTCCTTCTTAACAGCTCAACTTTTACTGTGGCTTAAACTATCAAGTTAGAGGAGGTGATTTTGAAAGGCCTGTGTCTACCATTAGACAGAATAAGAAGATTTCCTCAGGAAGCAAAGTGCAAGAGTAAAAAGTAGCTGGCTAGGAAAAGAAGCAGGATAATTGAGGAGAAAAAGTGGCCAGGTCAAGACGATAGAATGGAAACAAAATTTGATTTAAGCTTGAGGGCAGGTTTTGATGTAACTCAGTGGCAAAGCATACACCTTCTGTGCAGAAAGGGCCCATGTTCAATCCCCACTGCTTTCAGGTGGGGCTAAAAATGATTCTTGTTTGAAACTCCCAGACAGTTGCAGTCAGTCAGAGGAACCAGCAGTGTGACTCAGTGAAAGGCAGTTTCCTCTGTATTATCACCGACTGCCAACTCGCTCTCCCACTACATCCTGCTTCTTACTAGCATTGTGAGAAAGCTGTCTGGGGTTGGTCTTTATGGCTCACTATTAAAGATAGAAAGGTTAGGATAGTTTTATCAAGTGCTTGGGAGGGAGGAGTTACTTCCATTACATATTGATCTCATACTCACAGGATGGAAACAGTTGTCGCTTTAAATAAATACCTGGATTTAAATAAATGACCATCTGAGCAGTATATATTTGTATACTTGGTTAGTCTTAAAACATGAACAGCATGTGCATATGTGGCATGGTTTGGCGTGGTGCAGCATGGCATGCCTTTGTGCCTCTATTTCCAAGTGTTCCATAATACTTGCAAATGATGAGGGAGAGTCCAGACTGAGTCATGCTGAGGGTAGACCAAATAAAATCAACCTTGCAGATTTCTTGAGGATTTCTTGTATGCTAAGATAAAGGTCTCTGCCACTTGCCTTTAGAAGAACAACAGGTTAGAGCCAGACTTCAGTTATCCTTACAGTAGACCTACTGAAAGCAATGAGATTTAAGTTAGCCATCACTAAGACCATCATCATCATCATCATCATCATCATCATCTTAGAACAGCAGAACTAGAAATATGGACCATCAAGTCCAGCCCCTGTCAAGGGGGCACAAGGGGGGGGGTCCAGCCCCTGTCAAGGGGGCACAATGGGGGGGGGGACGAACTCCCAGCCTCTGGTTCCACAGCCAGATACCTAAACCACTGAGCTCTCTGTCTCCCATTGATTTCAGAGAGTCTCCTCTCAAGATGATTAATGTCTTGATCCTACTCCATGTCCCATTTTATTAGGATGCACAACTGGTCTTCCCACTGACATAAGTTTTGCTTTACAGAAGGCTCATGTGAGCCTATTGCATGGTTGTTATTGGGCGGTTATTAGGTAAAAGCCCTGACTATGCCTTCGATGTGGGTTTGCTTCTGTGATGGTGGATTGGAATGAGAGAGCAAAGATAGTATCCATTGCCAGGCCTCCACCTCTTGAAGGCAGCTCCTACTGAACCCTCCCAGCATGCACTGCAGCCACCTTCAGAAGGACTCTCTGTTTATGGCCTACTTTACAGGTGAGCCTCAGGTACCACGTAGCAAAAAGCACTCAGATAATTGTAGCTGTTAGCAGCTCTAACAGCTAATATGAAACTTAGAAATATACAGACCATAGAAAAGTTTCCCTTTTGGACTATAGGTCCCAGAATCCTCCAGCCAGCACGACCAGGAGCAAAAAAGGGGGGGAAAGGGAGGAGGCAGCTTCGGCAACCGGACCAGCCACGTTCCCACCATTGTCTGAAGTTGGCTACTGCTGTGCATTTAGTGATGACCTCTAAGAGGGCCTTGGGATGGCTTGGAATGTGCCTGTGCCATTGAACAGGCCGTTTCCTGGCCTCCTTCTATAGTGCAAGGAATTGAATGTTGGTTGTAAACAGTAGGAGCCACTTTCTCATGATGGTGGGTGTGGGGCTGCCACACCCTCTTCTCCACTTCCTCCTTCCTTTTTTGGGACAGTGCTGGACATTTGGCATCATGGCTTCAGCGTCCCCTGCTTATATCTGTTCCATCTCACACTAGCGACAAGTTAATCAGTAATCTGTCAATTAACACTATGAGCCCTTCTGTGTTTGACTTACTCATTTGTCTGCCTTCTACCCCCTAAAAGTGGGTCAGATGTACCTCCTGTAACCTTTGTCACCACAGTTCTTATAGGTTGACTGCCTAGTTTTTTTTCTGATACATTGAAAGACTCTTATAAATACATATTTTAAATGACATCAGCAGTCTGGTCCTTAAAACTGCTTCTTTGCTTGCTTTACTGCCACTCTACACTGGTCAAGTTTTTAGCCCTGATACTGCCACTGGGACCACCCTTGGGCCAGGCGTTTTCAAGAATCCTCCTGGATTGTATGACTTTATTGACTTAGCTACAGCCCTGTCCCTTCTTTTATCCCTCCCTCAATTAATCTGAACTATCTTAACTTTTCCCCCCCTTCCTTTTAGGTGGATGACGCCACATTATCAGAGCACAGCGTCACTCAGGTAACTATAAGCAAATCATTTGCAGTTTGACTTATGCAGGCTCTGCTATCTCAGCTTTTGGCATAATTCTCTGGGTTTTGCTGAACTGAGACCTGCAACAAAATATTGCAGCCTAGAGTGATATCAGGCAAAATCCAAAGCAACAAAACAAAAACATCTGGTACCTTAAAGACTAACTATTATATTTTAATGTGACCTTAGTTATGTAAGAATCCATAGATAAAGTGTTCTCTACTAGTGGGTTATGTATTGAGGACCATCTCAGAGATTTCCTGTAAACTATGTTAACTATTTGCCATTTTGTACAGACACAGTTAACCCCAACAGACAGTATATATTTGTAAAAACATCTGAAATCTTGCAAGGAAAAGAATTTGGAAAAATGGTTATAGGGAATGAGTCATTACCTCTTCTCTTCCAATCCAAAACAACTCTTCTTTGAAAAAATAAATGGTATCTTGCAAGGAAAAGAATTTGGAAAAATGAGGGAATGAGTCATTCCCTCTTCTCTTCCAACCCAAAACAACTCTTCTTTTACAAATAAATGGCATTGGGATTCTTATGAATGCATCTGCATATAATATGCAATCAATCAATACATGAGCATGGACAAAAATATGTGCAGACACATGTATATGGACACCACAGTATACAAAGCATGAAGAGACTGCAGTATATTCTCTTCCCACAAACTGCAAAGGAAATGTCTGTAAGTGGACACTATTCAGTCAAATAAAGACTAAAAAATGTTGAGAATGCTGGCAGTAACATCTCTCTGATATCTTATGTTACATTTCACAAGTTCTCTTACTGCCAGCCATCTTCTCCATGATGGCACAGGCCAAGAAGGAGATTCTCTGGCACACCTTCTTATCCTCATCTGCTACCCGGTTTGCTCTGAACTGCAGTGCTAGCCCCTTGAGCAGATTTATCTCCCATCCATTTCGCCAACTTGCACCAATCCACAGAATAAGACTATTTCTGGAAACAGAAAGCTGGGATCAGCTATTTTGGTTGTGCAAAAAGGATGCTTCACAGTGGAGAGAAAAGTTAGGCAGAGGAAACATAGCACTTTATTTTACATAACCTTGTGGTCTGAGATCCAGAATTCTGTGCTCTGGCAAAAGGTACCTGATGTAACAGTGGGAAGGGGGCAGAGGAACTGCCAAGCCCTATTGATGCACAGCTGCTTTCTTTGGCTCGCTTATTCCCCATCTTCCAAGCAAAATATATTTGTTGGCCTAGGAGGAGAAAGTGGGAGACAAAGAACTGGTGTCTTTAATTTGCCCATTGTATATTTAGGCTGAGTGGGAGTTGGTGGGGGACACTTTCCAGTCCCCCACCCTCTTATCACTTTCAAATTGTTCATCACCTGTTTAAATTGGGAACAGGTTTAAACACTAACCTATCAGAGCTCATGTGAGCAAACAAGAAGCCTGTGGCCCTACCAAGGTTTTTAAGTTACACCTGGAATTAATTCCCACTCCCCACCAGCCTGGTCTATGGCGAGGGATTATGAGACAGTGAGAGTTATAATCCAGAATGTAAGTAGTGTGATATAGCAAGATCATGCAGGTTAGATTTCTCCGTGTGACAAAAATTACAAAGCCAAATTAAAACGAGGGCAGGAAGCACCGCTGTTTGAATAGTACAGTGGTGCCTCACTTAACGATGGTAATTGGTTCCCAAAAAATCGCTGTTAGGCAATTTAATAATAATATAATTTATTGTCATTGTAAGTATATACACAGTATACCCATACAACAAAATTCACAATCTCATCGCTAAGCGAAACACGGTTTCCCATAGAAATGCATTGAAACCTATTCAATGCATCTCAATGGGGGGGAAATTACAACAAATTTAAAAAGAGTCGGAACAAAGTCAAATTAGTTTAACAAATGGTTTATTAAGTGCACTTATGATTTCAAGCATTCTAAACATTTTTAAACATTTAAAAAACAGCCAACATGAGGCTGTCAAAACCATTGTTAAGTGAAACAGGGGGACCCAAACTGTCATTGCTATGCAAAGCATGGTCTCAAACATCGCTATGTGAAAATCGCCCATAGGAACCATCATTAAACGGAGTGCAAGATCGCTTGCAAAAATCGCCCATAGGAACCATCGTTAAACGGAGCGCAAGATCGCTTCGAAAAAGTCATCGCTAAGCGATTTCATCGTAAACTAAGCAATTGCTAAGTGAGGCACCACTGTATTCCCTAGCCAATCACATTTTTCTAAATGATGATGTCACAAAGACATAACAGAGTGAAGTAAGTTGCTTCTTATCTTCACTATGAAGATACTAAGAATTATGTTACAGCCTCCTAGTTTTCCTCATGGAACTACATTTCCCAAGCTTCCGTACAGAGAAGGAATGAAATATTAAACCAGTTTAAATGTATATTAGTCCACAGTGGCACAGTTCTAGCTGTTGGCAACTGCAACCAATAATTCTCCTGTCTAGTGGTGTGGGACTACAAGTTGCCTAGCAACTGCAATAGCATTTAGCCTGGGCAGGGGAGAAAGTAGATGAGGGAGGAGGTGGGACTGCTAGTGAGCAGCCCAGGTTATGTGCCAGGGTCAAATCTCCCCTTGTGTTGCTCATGGGGGGGAAGGGGGTTTGTTAAAAACACTGTATAGTGTCTTGCTGTTCACAGGGTGTGTTAAACTGATCATACATGGCTCATATGTGCCACTATTCGCTTAATTTTCCATATAATTGGTAAAAACCAGTTTGTTATGAGTACGACTCACCATAATTAGGCCCTTTAAAAGCCTACCGATTTAACTGAAAGAGATATAAGCACATACTTGATTCATCTATTGAAATCAAGAAAACCATTACAGATCTGAAGCAGAATGGTCAGGGATTCAGGACAAGTAAGAGATATTTCTTCATGCAGCATATACTTAAGACTGTGGAATTCATTGCCACAAGAAGTAGTAAGAACCACTAACACTGGAAGACTTTAAAATAGGACTGGGTAATTAATGGATTCGTGTCAGAAATGAATTCTATTCCAAATGCTGAACCAATTATTGTTTTGATCAGGATTCATCATGGTCCTTCTTATGCTCTTAAAGGGGATTAACTTTTGCTGGATTACACCCTGGGGATAATTTCCCACCATACCCCAATTTCTACTGTCATTTTTTGATGGTGCAGTGTTGGCGTCTCTCCACCGTACCACCTTGGTGTCAGTCACAGAACTTAGAAAAAATATTTTTTTAAAAAATTACAATTTCTGGAATCGTAGACTGTAGCCCTCCATGGGAAATTCTGGGAGTTATAGTCTAAAAATGTTACTCTTCCAAACTCTGGCGAGTCAAAAGGCTGTTAAGGGGAGTTTAAAAATTAGAATAGATGAGTAAGAGTAAAATTAATTTTTTTTACTTACTTACTTACTTACTTACTTACTTACTTACTTACTTACTTACTTACTTTATTTATTTATTTATTTATTTATATGTATGTATGTATGTATGTATGTATGTATTTATTTATTTATTTATTTATTTATTTATTTATTTATTTAGATTCCAAAATGTTTAGGTTTTGGTAAACATCTGCTTTGACTACCAAAGCAGACTGACAGTAACAGAAAAGATGAAGAGCTAATGCTTGAAAGGGTGTCTTGTGTTCAGCTACAGTGAATCAACTCTGCTGTGCCTACTTAAGACCAACCCACTCCTTAGAATAACTTATTCTAAATAAAACCTCTATTGGAGGATAGTACTTAGAGCCTAGTTTGAGAGTTAGTGCCATAACACGCAAATTCCTCCTCCAGGTTCAAAAGATAAACTTTGGGAAATCTCTAGAGTTGGGGATCCCATGATCTCCCTTCACAACCTTTCACAAAGACTGCCACAAACATCTGAAGTTGGCCTATATCCTAATTTTGCATTCAGTGAGCTTTTCCCAAGGCAGGTTCTTTCCTTACCTTAAAGACATAACCTGCCATCTAGTGCTCATATGGCAAAAACAGCAACACTTGGCCATCTGCTTAAATAATCTTGATAAGATTAGGGACTCTGTTCTAGTGAACACAGGTTCACTAGAATTTTGCCCAGGGAATTTTGGCTATCTTTCTTGGCATTGGCGCATGTAATATGGAGCTTTTTTTTAAAAAAAGATGCCTCTGCCCAGAGCACCTCTCCCCTAGCTGTGCTAGACGAGGATGGATAAGAAGTTGTAGATCAATGGAGGTGAGAGGTTCAAACTATAGCAATTGAAAGCTGGCTAAGTCACATCTCCACTCTCCGTGTTCTTGCTTTCGTTTATGCTGCATGATATTTGACATGCACACTTCTCTTCTGCTTGAGGATTAGCTCCTGTAAAATCCTTGAGGATGTGGGCAAAATATGCTGAAGGCTGGCCCTGCCATAAGATAGAGTGGGGCAACTACCCATTGTTAGGAGGCGATAGCAGGATGTTGGAGGAGAGACACCATATATGCACCAAGCAGCCTGCTCAATTAGCCTGCTGCCATCAGTGCAGTAGAGCAGTGGTCCTCAACCTTGGGCCTCCAGATGTTCTTGGACTTCAGCTCCCAGAAATCCTGGCCAGAAGAGGTGGTGGTGTAGGCTTCTGGGAGTTGTAGTCCAAGAACATCTGGAGGCCCAAAGTTGAGGAGCACTGCAGTAGAGAATACTGCCTACTAGCCGAGTCAACTTTAAAGGATACTGCATCTTGTTCTTAGGCTCAGGTAGCAAAATGTCTCAGGTGGGCCATGATGCAGGTCAGTGCTATTTCTCTGAGTAGGGCTTGGCTAGGGTGATCCTAATGTCTCCACACTTAAAGGAAACACATTTATTTAGAGCCTGACAGTCATACTCCAAATACATCCACTGAAATTCAGCGGAACAAGTCAGCCATGACTAACTGTGTCCCATTGGATAAGTTTACTCTAGTTTGCTTGTTAATTTAAATGAGTTTAAAGTGCCTTTCAGCCAGCAGGCGTTCAGGGAAGTATGCTACACAAAATCTAAAAATAATGTCAAATGACATGAACGTGAAATTGGAACCTGCAATTTGCACCTCATTATCATTTCAGTGATTATTAAAGCGATCGCTGAATAAGTTCTTTTTCAGTATATACAGTATAGAATTTATTATCTGATCTGAGTATCTAGCTCAGAAATTGTTAAGTGATGGAGAAGGGGACTTATACAAAAAAAGAAATGAGTCATAACATTATGAAATATTGTTACGGTGTCTACTGAGCATTTATTTACCATAGTGCAATGCAATCAAGAACAAACGAAAGGTCCCTAAAGAACAGACTTTAGCATGATTGAGTAAATTAGCCCATAATGGAAGGAAGAGGCAGTAGACATGGGGCTGCTCTGGAAGGGACACCATGGCAATGGCCTTTGCCAAAATACTTGAGTGGGATAAATTAACTATTACCATCTCTCTCTCTTTCCTTTTTGTTTTCCTTTTCCTCTCTTTACAGGTTCTTCAGTCTGCCAAAGAACAAATTAAGTGGTCCTTATTAAAATAAAGTGCCCCAAACAAAAAAGCATGGCAAGAGTGTGTTTTGACTTGCAATTTAATTTCTCACTTTATTCTCCTCTAAACTCCTCCTCGAAGGTTGAGAATCTTTCTGTGGCATGTAAGATGTCTCCCCTGACAAGTTTGGAGGATATGAACGTGGGACACTTACAGAGCAAATTTTTTCTAAACCTCTCACAAAGGAGGCCATGGGCATTCCTGGTTATTCACCCACCGGTGCTTCTGGAGGGGCAGTTCTTATTTTACCTACTAGGCAAAAAGGATTTTACAGCTCTTTTTTTGTCTTTCCCTCCTTTTGACACTTTGCCCCCAGGAGAAAAACTCAGAAAAAGGAATGGGGAAAGACGAGGGACTTCAAAGCGCATGTCTGGAAGCACCCAAATCCCCCAGGGCGATTCTCCACATTTACACTGATGTCCCTTGTCAAGATTCACAAAGATAATTTGAAAAGAAAAGGTGTTTGGGAAGGTCTTTCCACCATCCTGGAGAACTAGAAGCAAGCGTATATTTATTCAAAAGATGTTCTGCTCTAACAAAATGTGGCAGCAGAATATGTATGAAGCTTTTTTTTTCAGTCTAAGTGATCACACTTCACAAATGCACTTTAAAAAAATTATTTCTCCATTTTTGTTTTGGCTCGGCTGCTATAAATGGCTACCGCTAAACTCTCTTAGCCTGACATCTTCTGGGGGTAAAATGTCACTGCAGTTCCAAGATAACCATAGCCCGTTGCATTGCTTCCCTGCTCATTAATGGGGCAATTTAAGCTTTGCAATAGTAAAGAAACCAAAGAAACCATGTGCTTGATTGCTGTAAGATAAGGGTTACCCCAAAAGTAGCCCCTTGGCCAGGATTGACCTGCTGAGTCATGTCACATCACCTCCCTCCCTGCCCAGGGGCCAGCCTCAGATGGAATAAGCAGGGAACAGGCAAGGAATCTGGCGGTGTGCAGATGTTTTGGATAATGGCAGTCATAAGTCCCACTCAGGATAGCCAACAGTCAAGGGACATGAAGATTATCATCCAAAACAAATGGAGGGCACCAGGTTCCCTACTCCAGAAATAGAGGAATGTGATACCGAAGCTACAGAAATGAATTGCAGCAGCAGGCATTTTGGAATAGGGGTCAATCATAGGGTCTTTACGACCTAATTAAAATTATTCTGTGGCACAATAAGCTGCTGACCATGACTTCAGCATTATTGACACAGAGTAATAGGCCCAAATAAAACAATCCAAACTACCACTAGGGTTGTAACTTATATGACCCCAACTCCAATGTCACAAAAAGGTATGCATGCTGTAAAGTTCCCCAAAAAAGCCAACGGAGAGACAGAAGTGGCTGATGTTTAAGCTGTAGAATCTGCATCTGGTTCTAGAAGCTGCAGATATTTGAATACAGTGTACCCTCGACTTACAGACGACTCCACTTACAGACTTTTCGAGTTACGGAATTCTCTGGCCGCAAAATTTAGATTCGACTTGCAGCCGGAGAATCGACCTACAGACCGGAGAAAAAAACAAACCAAAATGGAACAAAAATGGCCGGTTACAGATTAATCGGTTTTCAATTAATTGTAGGTCAATTATTGACCTACAGATTTTTCAACCTGCAGCCGCCGTTCCAATACGGATTGATTCTGTAAGTCAAGGGTCCACTGTATCTAGGAAATGGTTGTATTTCCACACTCTCACTCCCTCTTTCTTTAATAGCAGCCCTGCCCCAAATAGTGATACTTGAAACTTTTCTTGACATTTAAAGAATTAATACTAGTTGGGTTGGCTGGCATCACCCCAGGGTATCCTCCCAGCTCTGTACTGTTTGATTCTAAGATTTTAATAACAGTAACTAAACAGCCTTGCAAATGGAAGCCACCAACGAAAGGATTGTCCTCTTCAAATGGAGGACTGTAGTCCCTAAAAGAGGCCACCTGGCTATCCTCAGGCTGCTGTGAAGGACACAGGGTCAACGCAAGTTGGCAACCCTAAGCTGATTCTACATTTTGCCTTGCACATTAGACCAGAGGGCCGGGATATGAGGTTGAACAACAAGAGTATTCATTTTGCCCAAACCACAGGAAACGGTAAGTGAAATCACCATTTATACACGCATGCACCCCCCCCTCCATTACAGACCCTGATTCTGGAAAGATTTATAACTCATCCAGACATGATTCCCCAGTGCGAGATCATGCAGTGCATTTTATTATATTTAAAATATTTTTCTTTTGACTGCCCTGTGCAACATGGAGCGTGAGTTTGTTGATTTTACAGTAAGAGTTGGCCTTGTTCCTTTATTTATATAGCATGACGGGAGAGGATACTGCAGCACCAATGGGGACCTTAGCTTTCATTTTATGTGAGGACCAGAGAGGGAAAGAGAGCTCATGGCCAAACAGATGTGGAAATTTCCTTTTGCTGACAACACCGCCAGTGTTATGTCACTGCTCTGGAAGGGGCTCATCCGAGGCCCCGACCATCTCTTTTGATATCAGAATCACAGGGAGCTGAAACAGAGCCATCAAAGGGTACAGAGGGAGTTTTATATATATATATATATAAACCCACATCTGCTTTTGCTTTTCCTAACAGCTGGGGTTGCATTTATAACAAAAACAGGTGCCAGGAAGAAAACTTTACTGGAAATCCCTCTCCGTCATCCAAGATGTACATACTGTACACTGAGATGGGACAAGTTATAGTATATGTGCTGATTTTTAGCAAATCTGCAACGGTGGAAGCATTGCATACATATTTATTATATTTACATTTTTATAATGACAGTCTTTCCTTAGTCAGTTGCCTGAGGGAATAGTTCCCCCCCCCCCATCAACCTGTCCATTTATCAGATCAAGATTTTCTTTTTTTTACTGCACATGGATGTCTGGCAACAATCAAAAGTGGCTTTTCCTCAAGCACAAATCTACCATTGAACTGAGTGATGCAGCTATTTCCAGTGCCTGATTCTGAAGTCCCACGAAAGTCCCTCTTCCCTCTTCTCTACCTGAGGCATGTAAGCTTACCTGCTCTGTGCTGTGGCCACAAAGCTCTCCAACTGCTCTCCAATTCAATGAGTGAAGGAGGTGGCTCTGTTACCAGCCAATTGAAGACAGATTTAACAACCGTGCTGGTCAGATTTGGTATCTAGCCTGGTATTTATGTGTGTCCATTTCCATTTTGTCTTTTGCCCCGGGGAGCCAAGAGTTGTGTGTTTGCCCTGCCCTTGCTGTTGCAGAAATGCACCTAAGGCAGTGATGGTGAACCTTTTTGAGCCCAAGTTCCCAAACTGCAACACAAAATCAACTTACAAAGTGCCAATACTCCAATTAAAACCCAAATGCTGAGGTTTTAGTTTAGAAAAAAACAACTGCTCCTGCACTGCAAGGGTTAAATGCTTGGGGGTTTGTTTGTTTGTTTGTTTTTTCCTATGGGCAGTATTAACAATGAACTACTTCATGGTCCTCCAATCCCCCTTTGGGCTAGACTGGTAATGATCGCCATTGCTGGACCACTGCACCAGCAGAGGGGTGTGTCAAAATCTGGGATCTGAGGACGGATAAGTATTTTTCAAGGGCGACTTATGCCTTGTGTGCCGACAGAGCGGGTTCTGTGTGCCAGCTATGACACACATGCCATAGGTATGCACCCCCGCCCCGCTGTAGCCACCTGCCATGATGGTGTTTCAATTCCTGTTAAAAACCTCCTTCAATCAAGCATTTGCCAGATTTGAAAACCAACAGAATTAGACATTTGATTTTTACTGTTGATTTTTGTGTTGCAATTCTTGTAACTCACCCTTAATGAAGGGCAATAGATACAGATACACATACATATAAATAGTTGAACAACAAACAACATGAATAGGTTTAAAACACTATGACTGGCTAAACATTTAAAAATATATAGTGGAACTGCTTTTTCAAAATTACCTGTAAAAATGTTGATCCATTCTTATGTCTTTCTACAGAGGATAGGCTATTCTGCTTTCCTAAAATGCTGCCCGCTGCTGTTTGTAACCTATTTTTGGAATTAATTTTGATTAAATGGCATGAAAATACTGACACAGCTGTCTTGGGGAATGGACCAGGGATCCATGACTACTACTTCAAATACTATGATGGATTAAAAGTTGGATGTAAGCGTACCATAATAAAATAAATGAGTAAAGATGGCCCACAACCTACAGCCTCTCAGCTGCCTTCTTGAAGAGATCCGGATGGTTCACAATGCCATGTTATTTGCTGACTGGCTTAGATAAGAGGGCACCCCCTGCCAGCTTTTTAGTCCAGCAGCTGCCTATGCTGACTGCTCATATTCACATACCAGTTCAAGGACTGAGGCACGGAGCTCAAATTTCACTCTCAGGAAGATTTTAACAATTTAATGAAACAATCAGAAAGAATGTTTAAAAAGGGATGTGTGGCCTGCAAAAACATACAAATGCAGCAGCCTCTGTTACCTTTATTAGACCACTAAACAAATCCAACTAATAACAGACAGCGAGCTTTCGATGATAATGCATCTTCAGGCTCTGCACCAAGTTCTTGTGGGTAATTTGGAAAATTACAGTATATACTTTTAGTAAAGCCCCAAAGTCTCCTGGCCGCTGTTGGGGCCAAAGTTAGCTTCTTAGACAGGCTTAGGGGTGGAAGGGGTGGTTTCAAACTCCACCTCAGTCAGCACTTTGGCATTTTTCACCCCACTCTTTAAACAAAAGGCCACATAATACCTGCAAACCATAATACTTGCAAACACACTGGAGACAAACCTTATGAAAAAGGCCCTAAGATATTTTAGGAGAAGGGTGGGGAACTCTGCTGCCTTCAAGATATTGTTAAAGAGCACAATTCCCATCTGCTCTAGCGAGACGGGAGAGGATGGGAAACGAAACCCCAAATTATCTGAAGTGCAACAAGTCACTCAATTTTGACTCAGGATTCAGAGAGGGCAAAAACCTGAGTTAAAGTTAAGAATGCTGGAACAGATTTGAT